TGCCAGGCAGCTCCGGTACCTGGCTCAGACCTATCGTCATTGCGGCAGGCGCATTGTTTGCAGCCTGCAAGCCTCCAAGCAAAGCTTTAGAAGTCAGGCTATGTTCGGCATCTGTCTGCACCATGTCCTGGCGGCACGACATATTCGAATTGTCCTGTGGCTTTCGCACGGGCACTATGGTAGGCATAGCGACCAAAGCTGTGTTGGAGCAAGATGTGCTGGAGCCCTCGCCACATCATTGGTCCAAGGCTTCTCACGGCCAAGTTTAGCAGAGTTGCAGTTACCCAAAGCACTACTGTACAGGCTTAGAATTGCGACTGTCAGAGCACTGCTCGGTGACGGAGCTAAGTCGCATGATCGTTTTGGGATCCCACCCCGTACTTGGGGATTCGTGATCGCGTTGGTTCGGGATCGTTGAGGTTTGATTGCTGAAGCTGCATTTACAGCAGCTCGCATGGAGAATTCGTGATCTCTGTAGTAGTGTGCAACCACAGAGTAGCCCAAGCAGTAGCAGCTGTTATATGGTTGCAGCCGTCCAGCACTATGCACCAATTAAACCGAAGAGTCGAGTTACTGCCTGTGTAGCTGCATCACCGCAACGAGTCATGCAATCGACATGCTTTTCAACCCAACTGTGTACCCGGCATCGTAGGTTCGTCTTAGCCAGGCGGGAGGCAAAAAATGTAGCAAGTGCTTTCCATCGTCTTGTCTATTTGCATTCGAGGCCTGAAGTTACAGGCCGGATTTGGGCTTGTCGAAAATCACCCTCACGCTTCCACGTAGGATATCCAAGGAGAAAACAGGACGTGATACGGAGCAGCTCTTCCAATGGCGCCTCCACTACCACACTGGTCTGGGTCACCGTCATCGTGCTGTGATACCACTGATTTTTGTCTTGCGTTTGTGCTTGTGAAAAACATGGGAACAGCTGGTTCTGGCATGTTATATTCCACCTACGTGTGTCTTGAGCGGGTGTTTCTCATCAAATCGGGATTCTACATGGGGAACAGCTTGGTTACCATGTGTTTTCGTCTAGTGGATGCAACCTGGCTGATGCGGCGTCTACATGGGGAGAGCCATGTTGATGTGACCATGATGTGACATCGCACAGCGCACGTCCCCTTAGACAGCTGTGTTCCTGGAAAAACATGACGTCACTTCAAGCCTTGACTGTAGTCGATGTCTGCTGTGGCTTTAAGTGGGTGACGCAGCAAGGAGCTAACCTCCTTTTGCACCATCGCCATCGACAGTGAGTCACCCGCAGGGAGCTCCTCCAGGAAGCTGCTTCGTTTTCCCGACATTGCAGGCAGAGTTGCATTACAACCTCCCCCTGAGGCATTATGTCACGAATGCCACGAACTATACTTGTCGATTCGTGGCCTCCTTTCTCAAACACCGCCTGTTAATGTCTGCAGACCTTGCCTGGATACGTCCGAGTGTCCTGTGATTTTCGCCCTTTGGCCTCACTCGACTTTGCACTTGAGGGAGGGCTGTTTCCAGACGGGGCCGGGTACTTCTCACACGCCATGAGCTGTTGTTCGTCGAAGCAGGCTTCTATAATCAACTGTGTGAGGGATGTGCCGGCTGGAAGCTGTACTGCAGCACGCAGCGCGCACATGAAAAACTCTGGCTGCCGCTGCTTGCCTGGCAGCCGGGGGCACATGCCAGCACCCTAAAATGCGCCGCATTCCGGCAATGCACAAAATGCAACCCTGCCGGAGAGGGGTGTCCGGGGTGTCCAAGCCCTGGCACTGGGGGCCAGAGCAGGGAGGCTGAGGGAGGCCCGTGGTGCCCTGGAATTCTGGACGCTGGCCGACGCCTCGATGGATTCTAGTTTTTCTAGTTTCGGAAGCATGCCAAGGTAGGCGCAAAACCTGTCGTTTGTGAATTCAAGCGGAGCTGCGCCATGCCTCTGGATCCTCGGGGCCTCATTGTCCCTGGAAGTCCTTGGGTTGACCCATGCTGGGCGCTGCACGCTTATGGAACCTGAGAAGGAAGGCAAGCGGGCTGGGGCATGCTTGGATCGAGATGCACCCCGATCATCCCCGATCCACGAGTTGTTTTGGTTCACCGTTGACAAACTGCCATCTGAGGAGGTCTCTTCCTCTGGGATGCCGTCTGCATCACAGCACGGGTTCCATCGCACGCGGAGGCTTACAGGCGCGAACTACAGAGACGAGGTGCATCCGAGAAACTTAGGGAGACGAAAACATGGAGTTGGCTCGCTCAGAGCCCAGGCCCAGCGGTCCTGACATCCTTGCTGCTGGCTGTCTGCGATCCGCAGCCGGAGCCGGAGTCGACTCGCCGGGAGGTGCGGGAGCGGCAGGCGGTGGAGGCCTCAAGCCTTCCAGCGTATCCCTTGCCAGGCGAGGCCCTGCAGTATCGGCAGCGGTGGGGCGACGCTGAATGCAGCTCAGCCCTGGCTAAGCTGACAAAATTAGTGAGAAGTCTAGGGCCTTCGGTGCCCAGGCTCTCCTTCTCATTGCAGAGCACCTCTCAGCTCTACAGGTGGGAGAGACTGGCATGAGGCATGAGGTCCGAAAGGCATACGTAGCGCTTCTCAGGAATCCTGACCCACAGATGGCTGGCCTGTGTGCGCGTGCCGCTGGTGTATGCACATGCGCCATTTGTCCGTTCGTTTGTCTGTCTGGCTGTCTCTCCTGCGTTTGTGTGGAGTGAACTGTTTCAGGACGAAAGCAGCGTTGATCTGACGGTGCTGCGAGATCGTCGGGTGCTAGACCCAGTCTCAATTCGAGGTCAGGGTTGTGAGCAAAGACTCTTACCAGTACATGGCAGGGTCGCGCAGCATGCTAAAGAATACAGCCTGAGAGTGGACCCTTCGGCGGGATCGAAGTCGCTGAATGTATCGGAGTTTTGCTACATAGTGTTGAAGATGCCCCAGTCTGCAGCGCAATAGCGTGCTGCAACAGTTATTCAGATTCGGCCGCTATCTGACATGACTATGACCACTGCATATCCACCATGCATGCGCTTTTTCCGTGTGTGGGATTGTCAGGTGCTGATTCTTCATGTCGGTGGCACCGAGCAGCGAATTCCAGCGTTCTCTTTGCTTCCAAACTTCCAGGAAGGCAACCGTGAAGCACATCATTCCGCATGACCTTGATTGAAGAACGAGCACGGCGGAGCGTCGACCCCACGGCCCTCAACGTTACGGTAGCCAAGTTCAATCGAGTTCAGATTGGTTTGTTTACGTTATTGAATTCAGGATGTGTGGAGATTCAGGTGGTCAAAAGCCCTTTCAGGCAGTGTTGGCCTAGTAGACGACACAGAACAGAGAGCCGCAAAGTCCTTTGACAGAGGACAGACCTGGAAGACCGTATTTGGGGCGTATACAGATCTGTCCATCAGACTTAGACTGAGCCCAGCGGCCGCACACAGCCAAGTTCCGTGCATGTACCTAAAGCTCCAGCTCGCAGTCCTATTCGTTGAGCCTTAGTGCTAGCAGGTGTGTCTTGGTGGTGCAGGCATTCGATCCTCAACGCACGCCTTGAGCACAGTGGACCTGCTGATGGACCCAGTCTTAGCTTCAAGGCACCAGATTGGGCGAATGGCCTGCCAACTCCAACAGCTTGTGCCGAAGCTTGTTCATGCGCCGATGCGAGCGAATTCGTTCCAATCCCAGGACAGCCTGGCCAACCTTGCTTCGCGTTGTCCACCAGGTCTCTTCGTGGTTTCTTCCCAGGAGCCTCTTTGTGACATGGAGACAATGACAGGATTCAACTGAGTGCAAGTCTACATAGAGATTTACGACGCGACACGGGCAGGACTCCTTCATGCAGGTTAGCGAGGGCTTCTGCGAGAGATTTGCAGCAGCTGCGCTCACGGACAGTTCCAGCTGCAAAGGCCACGCCAGTGTTCTTGAAAGCTTGGGAGGTACAGCAACCGGCAGTAGATAAAGGCTTGGGTTTTCGGGCATGCTTCTCTCTCTCTCGCTGTCTCTGTCTCTCTCTCTCTCTCTCTCTCTCTGTCTCTGTCTCTAGAGGGTGCTTTTGCCACGCCAGGGATTCTGGGCACGACGGCACGTGCGGGCTTGTACCGGCAAACAACACAGAGTACCGATGACAATCAGTTCTTCCAGCTTCATGTCCCCTCAGAAACTCTCTCGCTCTCTCGCACTGTCTGTTCCATGGCCCCTAATCGGTCCTCGTAGACCGCTCTGCGTGTTTCGCTTTTGCCTTTCAGCTGCCTTCAGACAGCTGGCAGGTGTTGTCACGGCTATGGCCGTGGCACTGCCGATCGAAGAAGTTGCGGAGCGCTACGGTGCATATGCATTAGACGCAGGTCGCTCAATTAAAACGAAGCTGATGGATTGACTCCGTATCTGCGGCAGACGGCACCGTGCGGCAGCTGCTGTTTCGGGAATCTGCCGACACCCTACGAATTCAGGCACAGATAGGCTGGAGCCTGCCTTTGTGTGAAGCGTGCAGTGGATCCCTTGCACAATGTACCAAAATGACCGACGACCGGCCAACTCGAGAACTGTAAGCTTGCACTTGTGTGGTTTGTTCACGTTGTTCAGGCTCTTCGAGCTGTACTGCCACGTGGTGGCATCCATAGGGCGGGGTGCTTCTGAGTGAAGAGCAGTCGCTTGAGGCGAAGGTGTGCGGAGTTGTTTTCTTCGATGCAGCAGCTGCCACGCAGCTGCTGCACCTGGCCTTCGATCCATCGTTCTTGGCCCAGAGTTGGGGGACGTATAGGCAGACCTCACAAAATTGTGGTGCACCGTGGTGTTTAGGTTCATGTGTGGCAGCCGTCCACATGCAGACGCGTGCACTGGCATAACAATGCGCTTGTTTGGGCTTGTATTTTCAGGTTCGAGGCATGTTCATATCTGGGCATCGACAATGGTGCGACTCCGCGAGGCCCAGCCCTGTTGCTGCAGAGGCGGTCTGTCGTGATTGCGACGTCGAAGGCTGGTCCATTCTGCCAGTTGGTGTCTTGCTCAAGGCTTCTCGCTGTACCTGGACCTCCTTGCCGCCATGGGCACCGAGGTGGACTTGGACCAGTTCTGTGCTGCCGGGAAGCTCAACTGCAATCAGTTCGTGTCTGCTTCCATGAGAGGAGCATGTTTCGTGAACAGTCCCTTTCTTGCCGTAATTCCATCAGGAATGAAGTCGAGCCGGTCCTGCGTCGGGCAATTTGTAGGGGGCTGCATGGTTTTCGTTTGACTGCAGCAGTCCTGGAGAGTCTTGGCGGCAACTCTTGCCACGCCTTGCTCCCCCCGTGATTCACAATGCATACGGATCACAGTGGGCCTTTGCATGTTATCATGTTATGTCATTCGGGAACCCGCGTACACGAGGACGCAGGATGCTCAGTATCGCTTTGCATCTTGGAGCAAAGGACAAGATGGTGTAAAGTGTAGAGTCAGTGGGCAGGTAGCCGATCGTGTCGGCTTGTTTTGTTGAGCGAGGTTCGCTCCACCCACGACTTTGTTCAGCTTCTCTCCTCGCTGCACTCCTGCTCAGAGCCAGAGGTTCTTTGTCGTGCTTGTGATGGCAAAGCCAGAAGAGATCAAGCCTTCTGTGCAGAGGGCACAATGACCAGATTAGCAGGTGCAATGCTTCAGCAGTTATTTGGAAGAGCCTGCGCGTGTGGACACATCCGCCTTCGTGGTGAACACCGTGCTTCACAGCGGCTGTCCGACGCCCAGAGTGGAGTCACCGGGCGCAAGAAGGTAGCCCACTTACAGTGTTGAAGCTGCCAGCTGCGCTTGCCGAAGGCAATGTTGCCATGGAAGCCATCGTGGAAAGTTCCGCGTTGCAGGATTGCCGAGTGGAGCCTTGGCTGCAGACCTTGTCACCATTTTCGAAGAAACAGCCGCAAGTTTGAGGAGCAGGGAGCTGTGTGCAGCGGCCTTAAGCGGCTGCGCGGGCTGGCCATTCCCTCCGGCATTTGGCTGCAGCAGGCGAAAGCACACGAAGCCATAGCTCCTTGCAATGCGAGCAAGGGACCTTTCGCTCCAGAGGTGGCGCTGCTGCCTACATCCGGGCAGAGCCAGGCCCGACCCGTCTGCCGCTGGAATTGTTCCGAGTCCATGCCGAGCCTAGTCGCATCACAAGATGACGGGTTGAAAGCTTGTTTTCCTAACATAACCATTGCAAGCACGAACGGTTGGTTCATCGTCATTGCCTATCAATGCCTATCAAATACCGGCAGGAATCTAAAACGGTCGTGCCAAGTATGAATGCACCGAAGCTCCGGGCAGAAAGCCAATATGAACATTGCAATCACGTCTTTACATTAACAAGCGGGCCAACGGAACGCAGGGGTCACAGCAAAGCTACACGAAGCGGGTCTCCACAGCTTCTTGGGCGCAAACCAATTTGGAGTTGGACCGCTTTTGACCACGCACCGGGCCTGGACTGGCTCTCTGCGTGTCGCCATTCCAGATGCTGGACCACGCCTCCCAAGATGGTTGCAAGTGAAGCTGACCTTTCCATGCAATGAGCTGGTGAACTAATAACCGTCAAAAAGTCTCGCAATGCCAAAGGGTCCTGCGAGACCTCTTGAACCAAGCCACAACTCGAAGTGCTGTAGTCAGAGGCAAGGAGGGCAAGCCGGCTCCAAACTTGTCAGTGAAGGCCACCTCTCGGTGCTGCTTGCTGACCTTGGGAGTTGGCGATGAGGCGTAGCCGCACAAGCATGCAAAAGCCCAATAGCCTGTCGAGCCGATTGAGCCAAGGTGTCTATGCGGAATGGAACTGTGCTGAACCAGACTTGGCAGGAGCTTTTCGCAAACACAGGACCGAAAGGCGTTCAATGGCCTCCTTCACCATCAGAACAAATTCTGCCGTGTCACCACAGACATGATAATCGACAATGATGTCGACAAATCATTGGTCCAATTAACGGGCATGCGCACGAGGACTCTGTGCCGCCGATGTTTGGCCCGATGGCAGAGGTACGTTACACACGGCTTGTTACTTTACTGCACTTGATGGAATCTGATTCCGTGTGTCGGCCTGCTTTTTCAATCTTTGCTCGAAGCACCGCAAGACATGTGCGCTTGCTGTCGTCGCATGTATACAGGCAACTCACTGCGCTCTGCATGCATCTGCTGCCCAAGGCTTATTCCCCATCGTTCCCTCGCAGGGAACGGCCACTGAGAGTGTCTCCAACCTGGCCTTGGTTTGGGCTGCTGGGTTTCAACAACATTAAGCCATGTCGGCCAGCTGGCAGTGTCGCTGTCTCAGATTTCAAGGTGGATTACATCCTTGCCTGCAGACAGCCTGCTGCAGCCCGCCCGTCTTGTCTGGAGACTCGGGGCGGGCACAGCCAGAAGCCTGGAGACAACTCCGACATCACTGTCCCTCAGCCGCAGGATCTTTGGCGGCGCTCCTGGAAGGATTTGCTGCTGCATTCGGAGCGCCTGTCCCTTCACGACGTGGCTTTGCGTGCTGATGTGGGTGTGGAGTTGGAGTGGCAGGACAACGTGACATCGTGCTCAAATGCTGCTGTGTAAACTGTCACTATGTGCATTGTCTCATCCCAGCTCCTGCTCAGCTGTCGGCAGGACACGATAGCTGCAGAGGCCAATGTGCTGCGCGTGAAACAATTGCTGTTGGAGCAGAAGGATGCGCCAATCACGCACATTCTGAAGGCCTGCATCAAGTCACTGAGAATCACGCATTGCGACAAGTTGCTAGAATCTTGTTTCGCGAGCGAGTTGCATTGCAGGACGAGGTGCGTCGAGGAAGGCTGGGGTTGCTTGACAGTTTGGCTGCTGGGCAGACATTCCAGATCTGAATTAGACAGATGTGCCCCCCAGAAGACCTTGCTAGCTCTCTACATCCACGGTTTGCAACATGGAGCTACTTTCGTGACACAATGTGGGGTCATGTGGCAAATTAAACAAAAAACTGCTTGTCACAGTGGATCTATGTTTCAAGAGCTGTCCTCAGTCGAAATGTGTCTCTCACCTTGCGGGTAGGCTGTGTCTATCTACGGACACTTTCCGAGCCATGCGACACTTTGTGGTGTCTGTTTGTGCCTCGATGACCTGCGTGCAGCCAAGGACGAGGTGGCCGCGAGTGAGGCAACGCCCCTGGATGTGGCAGCACGCTCCCTTGCTCAGGCAGATTGGGCAGAATGGTTTGCGGGAAGTGCTACTGTTTTCCTTCGTCCTCACATTGACCCACCTCCGGCACATGTGCAGCGACGAAAGCCAAAACTTTCCGTCAGGTGGCGGAAGTCCTGGCCTCCATTGCAGGGTCAGCAGGAAGCGAAATTATGCCCAGCCCGATACTTATCCCATTGGCTCCCGGGGAGGTGGATTGCGTTCCGGCAGTGCTCGGAATGTGCAGTGGCGGAAAGCCTTGCAGCTGCTTGCGAGCTTCGAGCCAAGGCGAGGACACACTTGCGGGTCTTGCAGGACAATTTGTCCAGCGCGCCGGAAACCAAGGTTTCGCAAAGAAGCGGTGCAGCTCATGACGCTGATTAGCCGCTTGGACGAGAAACACGACCATACAAGAGCTTTCTGAGCTTCCCAAGTGAGATGTGGGAACAAGCAGTTGAAATCCGGTCGGGGAGTCAGTGTGATCTCGACAACTCGTTTTGTTAAGTTTGTCATGATTGTCGAGGATCAAACTGGTTGCAAGACGGCCCTGTGGCTACCATGCGGGCTGCACGTCATTATGAAGCAGCGGCGCAGGCCGCTGGTGTCTTGTTCTATGATGTAAGGGCCTGTGAAAAGAGCCTTCAATGAAGCAGAGCATAGGAACAGAAGTTTCTATGCAGTGCCGTGGGTCTCACGCCGACCTTTGCGCGAGACGCTGGACGACTTGGTGCGGGGGAGCGCGGGCGACACCCTTGCTCTTGACCGGGAGCAAGCAAGAGCAAGCAAGAGAGAGGGAGGGAGAGAGAGAGAGAGAGAGAGCTATGGGGACAGGGTGATTCCCGAATGGGGCCACTCAACCGAACAGATGCGCGCCTTTGTGGGGTGGGCCTCCGGGCCAGAGGGGTCACACCCTCACACCCCCAGCAAGCAAGCAAGCAAGAGAGAGAGAGCGAAAGGCGAGGAGGCAGGTCAGGCGGGTGTAGCACAGCCTATCTTGTTTACAAAGCCGGGAGAGTGGAGCTCGACTGGCAGAAGGGAACCGGAGCCACTAGAAGTTGCTGACCACGACCCGGCTAGAGCTTCTTTGGTTACCACGGTGAGGGTGTAGGAGGGGTGTCCTTTGGGGAGGGGGTCTCGAAACTCAGCGGGGGAATGGGTCATTCAGACTCGACACTCGCGGACCGTAGAGGGATAGGCCTACGGCCGGGATCCCCTAGGAGGGTCCATGCCCGAGCAAGCAAGCAAGCAAGCAAGCAAGCAAGCAAGCAAGCGAAAGAAAGAAAGAAAGACAGAAACCTCGAGAGAAAGGACTTCATACCCCTAGCAAAGCAAAGCAGAACAAAGAAAGGACTTGACACGTCCACTATGCCCGGCAATTAAAAGGAGAGAGAGAGAGAAGAAGACAGACAGACAGACAGACAGCCAGCCAGCCAGACAGACAGACAGACAGGTTCAGGGTCTTAGGAGGGGTGTTTTGGGAGCTCGGGTACAGGCACATCAGGGGGAACAAGGATTACACTCATCCCCGAAAGGGGCCATGCCGATACTCAGACGCGGGCCTTGGGGTTGGCCCTCGAACCTCGGGCCGGAGCCCCACGGGGGTTCAGACCCCGAGCAAGCAAGCAAGCAAGCAAGAGAGAGACAGAGAGAGAGAGATAACAATTTTGGCTCAAGTCGACCTGCCGCTCTCTCCTTGTGGGGGGGGCGCTTGAGGACGGCCCTCTGAGGCTGCTGGCTGTCCCCAGCAACCTTGGAGGGTGGACGTTCCTTCAAGCGGAGGAAGGCTTGAGCCTCATACCCGCTGCCGCTTTGCTTCAGAGGCCCCGTCGGGGGAAGGTCCGTGTGCAATAATGTACGCCTTTGATTAATAAA